AATTCAGGCTTGCCCAAGACCTTAGAGATTGGGCAATCAGTATGTACAATTACTCGGTGGCTTTGGAAATAATGTCGAAGGCGTCGAGAAGTGCGTACTAAGGCGAGCGCCACCTTCTCTATCAACTGGTATCGGGCCTCGGAGTCTTGTAGTAGTCGACTGACGAAGTATATAAGAATCTGGTTGCCTCCTCTCTCTTGTACCAAAATCGAGCTGATCGCTTCCTCCGACACGGCCAAGTATAATTCATCGGCATTCGCAACCTTTCTCTTCTCATCTCCCATTTTCCTTTTCTTTTGAGCGATCGGTCATACGTCCCGGCATACGGCAAGCCGATGATAAAGGAATTTGGGATCTATTCCTGGCATGTCTGACACCGTCCATGCGAACAAGTCTTTGTTATCTCGGACCACACGTTTCACCCAATTTGAGTCGACTTTGCCTACTTGGGATCCCATGTGTGTGACCTGCTCGGGTGCTCGGCCAAGCTGAAAGGGAATGAGGTCCTCCGTCGGCTCGATTCACTCTTCTTCGCCTACCCGAGGGTCGAGGTCAATGTCATTCGTCATCTCCTGCCTTACTACATTCACACCCTTTGTCGTCGGGGGGTCGGCAATGGGCCGTACCTTCAGACTAGAAAGGTAGCATTCCTCGCTGTCTTTTGGTCGACGAGTATGGTTATTACCTGCCCATCTCTCGACGGTAACTTCATGCGTAGGTGAGGGGTTGAGACAATGGCCCCAAGTGCATTAATGGCAGGTCAGCCTAACAGGATGTTGTAGGATGTGTTCGCGTGCACCAAGATGTAACGGATTTTGACCTCTCAAAAAGACTTTTGATCGAAGCCAAAACAAGTGTATAGATCAATGCACCCTCTCGTCATCACTCTTTCGCCCGAGAATCCTACCAACGGCTCGCGATACGGTTCTAGGCTTTCCTCCGGGATCCCCAACTACACGAAGGTGTTCAAATATAAGATGTCGGCCGAGCTCCCTTGATCGACCAAGGTTTTCTTCACAATGCAGTTGTGCATTTCAACTAAAATCACCATGGGGTCATCTTGGACGGGATCGACTCCACGGAAATCCCAATCGAAAAACATTATCGGCGGCATCCGGGGTGTCTTCAGCTGATTCACACTATTTACTGATCGCACGGCCCGAAGGTTCCTTTTCCGTGCCGAGGAGGTGGATCCTCCTCCCGCGAAGCCTCCAGCTATGGTGTTTATCACCTTCCTTGGTCGGTCATTATTTTCCTGGGAGTGCCGTGAACGGTCCATCCTCTCGGTTGAGCGGGATCAGTGCCGACGGTCTCTCGGCTATGGGGCTTCGCGAGAGTGATGGTGCCTCTCCCTCGCCTGGTGGTCTTGGGGGTTGACGAAGCTCCTGAGGTGACCTTGCTTGATAATGTCTTCCAACTTGTCTTTTAGCGCTAAACATTCTTCAGTCGAGTGCCCCCTGTTTCGGTGGAATTGGAACGTCTTGGCGTTGTCCGCTCTAGGGGGAGTGTTCACCCTTTTCGGCATAACAAGAATCTCGAAGGCGAGGGCCTGTTCCATTACCTTGGCCCTACTCGCGTTGAGAGGGGTGTACGCTGTGTAACGTGGTCCTCTTGGGGGGCGAGCATTCGGGGGCTCGCCATTCTCCTTTCTAATC